ATTGTACACAGGTAAGTTGGGGAACTAGGGATCGAGCCCTGGGATCTACCTCAGCTACCACGAATTGGTGAATACCGTTTCAATACTTACGAAACTTACTATACTCACTGTTTTACTATACTTGCTATATCCATTGGCAGGAAGCCGTAGTAATGAAGACGTACAGTGATGGATATACTTACTGCTCCGTGGGATTGTGCTGTCCTTTTTCCTTTTTCGTTCTTTTGATTGTTTTGCTGCAGATTAGGCTGCAGGCGCAGGCTGTAGGTGGGCCATACGCAGGGCCCTCGATGAATTACGCACCCAAAGTGGACAAGGTGTGTGCTCACTGCGGCCGCTCTCAGTTTATAACTTTATACCTTATCCTCCTCCTCCTCCTCTTCCCACACCTCCTCTTCCTCCTCCTCCTACCCTCTCGTTCTCCTCCTCCTCCTCCTGGTTGTTGTTGTTGTTGTCCTTCGTCTTTTTTTTTTTTTTTTTTTTTTTTTTTTTTTTTTTTTTTTTTTTCTTCTTCTTCTTCTTCTTCTTCTTCTTCTTCTTCTTCTTCTTCTTCTTTTCCTTCTTTTACCCCTCTTAAGCTTTGACTTTGTCGTATGCAGAAATGGGACGAAGTATTCGAATCCTTGTGCAATGCTTGAATCAAATGCCCTGTGGACATCGGCATTTGATCAAAGCCGATGATCGTGAGCGTTGTCCTCCTTCACGCTCTCAAATGAAGCAATCCATGAGATCCTTAATTCATCTCTTTAAGCTTTACACGGAACAATGTTTGACGTACTTTCGTCTCTGTTATTACTTTTTTTCTTTTTTTCTTTTTTTTCTCAAGTTTATTTTGCTTCTCTTTTTCAATAAAGGGAGTAGCTGTGTCATGGAACATATCTTTCTTTCAGTGCCTCCTACCTATCCCTACTCCTAAGGGAATACAGGGGACCCCTGCAAGCATAGCTATCTACCTCTCTTCGGTGAAGGGAGGTTACCTCTCTCGGTGGAGCGAGAGGGAACGGCATGTTTGCCCCTTTGCCCTAGCGTTTTGGGGTGCAGGGTTGGGGCCGCCGGTCGGGCCCCGGCTCACACAAGGACCGAGCATTTGCCAGTAAAAAAATATGAGAGGTGAGAGAAAAATATATGGCTGTCCCCCGATGAGGAGAAGCCAGCTTTAAAAAAAAAAAAAAACAAGAAAAAAAACGGAGTACCTGCAAACAGTACATATGAACATCACTGTATCTGTATCTGTATCTGTATCTGTATCTTCTCCCCGCCGGGAAGGTAGGTATATGGGGTATGAAACTTTCAAAGTCAACTTTTTCGTGGGCATTCACAACTGTTTGACATCTGTCCGACGACGAGCTACTAAATGATTACCACGTGCTTTCTGATGACAGTTTAGAACACGCATGCATATGTGCATAGCGAGCATGACAACACGCATGTACACATTGGCCCCCCTGATGAGTCGATGAAAGTCCGACGAAACAGTCTGTTCGGTACAGTCATGCTTTTTTTGAGTGTATAGCAAATATGACAGCACGTGCACACCTTGGGTATCCATGGCTGAGTGGGTGTGAAGAGGTGGAGAGAGAGAGAGAGAGAGAGAGAGAGAGAGAGAGAGAGAGAGAGAGAGAGAGAGAGAGAGAGAGAGAGATGGCTATGACAGATTAGTTTCACAGACTTACGGCGGGTCTTGTGAAGGGTTCCAACTAGACAGTCTGCAGGATTGCGGAGTTGGTGGGAGGAAAGCCAACTCCATTTTTCTCTCTCAGGGGTATAGCTAACTCTGGGCATCGTGGTGAGTCAACCCCCTGAACCATCAGTCAAATGCATCCTGGGCAACCTTGTACGTGCAAGACATAATAAATGAGGAGCTGTTGCCCCAAAGGAATTCCCAACTAAACACAATTCAAAATGGTTCAGTTATGATTCATGTTGCTTGCTAAAGAGGATGTTGCTTGCTAAAGAGGTGAATTCTTCAATTGTTGGGCTGGCTCAACTCGAATCTAGTTGTCTGGGTGGACTAGGGGCTGTTGTGGTGGAAACTTACAACATGCACACACACACACACACACACACACACACACACACACACACGCGCGCGCGCGCGCGCGCACAGAGACACGCTGTCAACCTCCTGATGAGTCGGTGAAGGTTCGATGAAACAGTCTGGCATATCCTTCTTTTTGGTTTAGGGTGGTGTATAGCGAACATCACAACACACAAAAAAGTACACACACATACATGCACAAACAGAACCCTGCCCCGCCTTCAAAGAATAAATTATTTTAGGATGAAGTCAGCTCCAAGTGAATGGTTTCTGATCTTGCAAGCTGATGTATGTGGGTGCTTTCTGTTTTTTTTTTTTTTTTTTTTTTTTTTTTGTGGTGGTTCTCTTTGTTTGGCAATTTATCATTACCGTCATGGTCTGATAATGATGAACAGCTGACTGAGGCAGCTTGTCCGCCTGCGTGCCCACGGATTGGGAATGTGCACACTGCCCCGCTGTGCAATCCAGAGTGTTTCACTTACAAAAACACTCTTGATGTGTTTCAGAAGGTAGCCAGACAGGTGAGTGATCTTGACATTGATCATCTCCTTTGCCTCTCCCTTCTCCTCCATTACCTTCTCGATCTCTAGTCCCCTCCTCCTCCTCCTCCTCCTCCTCCTCCTCCTCCTCCTCCTCCTCTCTCTACTCCACATCTCCTCCCTCCTTGTACACCACTGTTCTCTCCTTCTCCTGGTCCTCCTACTCATTCTCCTCCCTCCCTCTGCTTGACATCTCTTCCTCGCTCACTTGACGTCGCCTCCTCTGCTGTCCTCCTTTTCGTTTCTTTTCTTTTCTTTTCCTTTTGTTCTTTTCCTTTTTTTTGTTCTTTTTTTTTTTTGCGCACAGGTCATGCTAATTTTCTCTGTATCCTTCTATTTTAAACGGATGCCCTGTTTTTGTCCTCCTCTTCCTCTCCTCCTCCCTCCTCTCTTCTTTCTCCCTCTCCCTTGCTCTCCTCCGTCTCCTACCTCCCTCTCTCTCTCCTCCCTCTTCCCCTCACTCTCCTCCTTCCCCTTTGTTGCTTGTGATGTGTACCTAGAATGCATTCGACTGATGGATATGGACTCACCATGTAACCCACAGTTAGCAATATCCCTGAGAAAAGTGGTAACGACTTTACTCCCACCCTTTGCAACCCTGTGTGTGTGTGTGTGTGTGTGTGTGTGCGTGTGTGTGTTGGGAGTGTGTGTGTGCGTGTGTGTGTTGGGAGTGTGTGTGTGTGTTGGGAGTGTGTGTGTGTGTGTGTGTGTTGGGAGGCGAAAAGGAGGCTTTGGTGTGGCCTTTTGAACAACACCCTGGCATGACCTTAACGATCTGAAATGTGTGCTGAGAGTGCGTTAAAGGGAAAGTGGATTTGTTGTGGTTTCCAGAAGATGGAAACTAATATGAATACCTGTGAGGGATTTTTTTTGGATATGAAAGTAATGAAACGCTCGTGCAAAAGGGGCATTTTTATCATTTCATTTATAGTGGTTCCTTCTTCTTTGGTTGTCCTTTGCCGGGAATGTGTATGTATGTAGGAAGGACTGCGACAACTCTGGAAAGGGACGAGTGCTGCTCTCGTCATAGCTGTCCCAACGGTACGTGTACTTCTTTGGGTTTTTAACTTTTTTTCCTCTGCCAAATTGCCAATGCCTTTTTTCACCTAGGCTACCAGCCGGGCCGCCCGGGTCCCGGGTGGCCAGCCCGTGCAAGGACCAGGGAAGGTCCCAAAAAAAAAAAAAAAAATCCCCCCCAAAAAACAGAAAACTATGTTATGCAGAAAAATAAACTGAACAACTTTTGCCTCAGGGTCACATCGAAATTCTTCACCGAACTTAGAATAAAAAATAAACTTTAAAAATATAGTCTGTAGAGTTTTCCATCTGGTGTGGGTGAGTGATAGTCTGCTTTGACTTTTGCCACAGGTACCTTGAGGGCAGTGGTTGGTGGTCCCCACCACCTCAGGAGGGTATCAGTTGTCGGGCAGTCGTTGATGCTTAACCACAGCCGGGGTTAAGGTGGATTATCACTTACAGTGTAATCAGTTAGGGGATTCTGCGGACTGTTGAGGGTTCAGCCTCCTGATGAGTCGGTGAAACTCCGACGAAACAGTTTGCCACAGCCCCTCGTTTGTTGTCCTCTTCTCCCTTCTCCCTCTCTGCCGACGGTTTACCGGGCAGCTCTGTTTGATGATATATATATTGTCTTTATAATTTTTTTGGCCCGGCAGGGCAAGTGACCGGGCCACTCTGGTAGCCTAGTTTTTCACATAATTTTTTTCTTTTATCAACAGTTCTTTGGGAACGTAAATAATATATTTTATTGAATTTTGTTTTGTGCTGCCTTTTTATCCGTTGTGTTTTTTCGGAAAAGTCTAATTAGTAATTATGCAATCAGACTCGTTTTCAAACACACTTTTCATGCATGTAAACAGCAACGCAGCATACTGGCGACATGTGCCCACTCAAACTCAGAGATATGGCTTTCAGATAAAAGTTCACTCTCAATTGGCTATGGCGACTTCAGCGCCCAAACATCTCACTGTTCATATACACTGGATCACCCTGGATATCCCACACGCATCACTCTAACACTCGAGCACACACACACTCACTACTAACTACAGCTATGGCAGCTATGGCTGCCTCTAACCTATCGCTATGCTAACTCCTCCTCTTGTGCCCACTGCGTCCTCCGGGCTCATCTGCAGACCTCCTTGCACAAGTCGCTGTGGCAGCGCTTCCGCATGGCTCACGCAGGAATGAATAATGGCTGGGCGCTGCCTCTTGATTTATACTTCAGAAATTCGTTGGTCTGCCCTTTGCCATCGGCCCTTGGTGCTCACAGTCCCCCTGTGGTACTTGCTGGACTGGACTGGGACTCTCTAGACCCTTCCGCTGACTGTAGGCAGTCGTACCGTCGACTCAGTGCAGTTGCACTGAGGTCCTACCTGTTGACCTTGCCACTTGTCTTCGTCTGAAAACGTGGGCCTACYTTAGACTCACCACTTGACCACTTGCCGACCTTCTAGAAGGACTAMAGCTAGGCCTCTGGACTCTACTTGGACTCCTACTTTACAGGTCTACAGTTCGAATCTCCCTACAGCCTACAACCTACGGCGACCTACTTACCACTGGCTATCGTGCAGGTCACGGGTTCAACTCCAGGGAACTGTGCAGATACTGTACACAGGTAAGCTGAGGTCAAGGGATCGACCCCTGGGATCTGCATCGGCTACTGCCAAAGGTGAAAACTGTTTCAATTATGTGTTCCACCCATACTTGCAAGCGCACGTCGTGCGGGCGGTTCCCTACGTGTGGCGCACTCGCCCAACCGATCCCGTGCGGCGCACGACGTGTGCGGGGAACAACCCGTCACCCCCCTCAGAAAAAAAAAAGAAGGCCGGGGTCGAAATGGTGCGTTTGAGCCCCCCCGCCCGAATTATAAGCGGGATTAATTTTTTTTTTACAGGAGTGCTGCCTCACCTTGCTTCTCCTCCCCTTCCTCATCCTCCATGTCTCCTCCTCCCTTCTCCTTTTCGTCTCCTCCGACTCGTCCACCTTCTGTTCATCCTCCTCCTCCTGCCCTTCCTCATCCTCCTTGTCTCCTCCTCGTCGTCGTCCTCGCTATCCTCGTCGTCCTCCTCGTCCACATCCTCCTCCTCTCCATATCCCCCTCTCCTCGCCATATCCCCATCTTCCTGTCATATGCCCCCACCGTCCCCCATCCCAAAAAAGGATAAAATAATAATAATAAAAATAAAAAACCTGCAGGATTCCGCACAGGCACCCCCCGCACGGAACTCTGCACGAATGTTCGGCTCGTGCGGTTGCAAGTATGGTTCCACCAGATATTACTATATTAATTATTATACATGTGTTTGGAAACCGGATTTAAGAAAACATAGAATCCTGGAAGCATGATACTCCCAGTGGATGCTTTTCGTTCTTCCCAGGTTTCGGCGGAATACGAGTTGCTCCCCATTCAAATTCTCCTTTGACTATCGCGTCTACTTCCCAGAAGATTTCTTTTAAAAAAGTATGATTTTGATTTTTTTTCTCTTCATCTTAAGAATTATTTTAAAAGAAAAGTTCAAGATGTTTTTCAATTGTTTGGAGAAGATTGGAGAAAGTGAGAATTACATTCACCCAGAAGCAGAAGGAAACAGAACATATTTGAATAAATGAACAAAACAATGAAAAACATAATAAAAAATAGAAAATAATGTCGGGAATATTCCGAAAATAAAGGTTTTCAAACGATTCCAAGAAGATTTCTCTGTAGAGAATACTTTGTCATTTATTTCAGTGGATTTTTGGCATGGCCTGGGTCCCTACCTGGGCCAGGCGCCCTCACGAAAGCTAGAATCTTTAATGAAAATCTGATTCATTTTAATGGTTCGATGCATTGACAAGGGTGAGCATACAAGGAAAAAAATAATAAACAAATGCATTTCTTTTCACAAAACCTGTGTGTGCGTGCATGCATTCGGTGTTTTCCAGGTAGGAGTGTATCTTCCATGCTACGACTCCATATTAGCGAAATTGGAGGAGACGGAACTTAAGGATTCACGGTTTCCAATAGCGCCTCTTCTCGCAGGGGCTACCTCAAGATCCATTGCTTGTGCCATAGTATCGCCACTTGAATTGGCGAGAACAAGAATGCAGGTGATTATTATTATTATTATTATTATTATTATTATTATTATTATTATTATTATTATATGATCTATTAAATTATTATTATATTGTTATTATTTTTGTTTACTGTATTATTTTTATAATATTAAATTTTGTAATATTAATTTTTATATTATTAGTTGCAGGGTTACCAGCCCGTACGTACGGAAGCCCCCGGGCGGACCTCCGTACGTTCGGGCGTTCGGGGTCCTGTACGGGGCCCGAACCCGACGGCGTTCGGCCCCCGCCAAAAATTATTTCGGGGCCAAATTTTTTTATTTTTTTTTCTGATTTTTTTTTATGAGTTCTCTATGACGTGAGGTACATGCCTATAAATTTTCAAGTCATTTGGCTTAGCCAAATAAGAATTAAAAATCGCCAAAGATGGCGGTGTCAAAACGTGCTCGCCCACGTTTTTTTTCACTTTTGACTTTTTGTTTTCACTTTAGTTCGGGGTCTACACAATTTTATTATTTTTTGAAACTTTTTT